GCATGAACATGTTGGTATAAATGATGACTTCCCATATGAGCATGCGAGTGAAGTGTTTAGTGTCCCTTGGTATGCTGATATTGTCAACTATTTGTCGGATGGTGTTGTGTTGGCTAACCTCTCTTCCCAAGAGAGGAAACGGTTTGTTTTGATGTGTAGGAGTTATTTTTGGGATCACCCACTCCTTTTCAAGGTGGGAAAGGATGAGATCCTTCGGAGGTGTGTGCTCGAGGACGAACAAGCGGATGTTCTTGCTTTTTGCCACGAGCTCAATTGTGGAGGACATTTTGGAGGTCGAAAGACCGCCTTTAAGGTCCTCCAATCAGGTTTGTTTTGGCCAACACTCTTTAGAGACGCTCATAGCTTTTGTAAATCCTGTGATCGATGCCAAAGACTTGGGAACATTGGTCCTAGGAATGAAATGCCCCTTGTGAGTAACCTTCAAGTTGAGATTTTTGATGTTTGGGGCATTGATTTTATGGGACCGTTTCCCAAATCTTTTGGTTTCGAATATATTCTCCTTGCTGTAGATTACGTGTCCAAATGGGTCGAGGCTATCCCCACACGGACATGTGATGCTAATGTGGTTATTAAGTTTTTGCGAGGAAATATCTTGAGCAGGTTTGGATTTCCACGTGCCATCGTGAGCGATGGAGGCAAACACTTCTGTAACCGGATTTTTGAGAAGTTGATGAAGAAATACGGAATTTCGCATAAGGTGGCCACCCCATACCATCCGCAGACGTCGGGGCAAGCGGAAACGAGCAACAAACAGATTAAGACTATTCTTGAAAAGACGGTGAACTCGTCTAGGAAGGATTGGTCGAACAAGCTCGATGATGCACTCTGGGCCCAAAGGACGGCAGACAAAGGAGTATTAGGGATGAGCCCGTTCCGGCTAGTCTACGGGAAATCATGCCATTTGCCAGTCGAGATCGAACACAAGGCATTCTGGGCGATCAAAAAGATGAATTTCGATGTTGATGCTGCCGGACGAGAAAGGATGCTGCAACTCTCGGAGTTAGAAGAATGGAGAAACGAAGCCTACGAGAATTCCAAAATATACAAGGAGAAGACAAAGAGGCTTCATGACGCCACTCTTGTTCGAAAGAACCTCGAGCCCGGGATGAAGGTACT